CATCTTTCAACGTTTAAAATTAACTTCCTTAACCATTAATCTTATTTTTCAAAGCCCCTCACCATTAATTAATTGTTAGTTTTTTAATATAGTTATTGCCATGTCATATTAATGCAATACATATGACAAATGATATAAAAAAAATATTTTACAAATTGTCATTGATATATAAAAGCTGTCATTGATAAAAATCATATAAATAAAAATTTATTCTTTAATATAAGAAAACTATGATATTTTATTAGTTGTTTTTAACAAAATTGATACAATTAAAACACTAATAGCAAAAAAATATATCTTATTCTAAAATTGCATACATTCAATTTGTAACATACTAGTAACATGTTTTTCTTATTTAATAAGTACTGTAAACTTCATTCAAATGTGAAAATAACAGTTACAAATAAATAAGAATATAAAGAAAATAAACAAAGCACATAACAAAATTTATATGATTCATATCAATGGCCTATTGGATTTCTTTTTCATTTTTTTTGAATAAAGGGTTGTTTTAATTAGTAAATGATAATAAAATTATAATTTTCTTCTTAGATTGTATTACCTATGAACAATAAGAATAATGTCACTTAACTATTAAAGAAAAATAATAAGAGCATTGTCATATGTGTTAAAAGATAAATATAAGATATATCTTGGGTGGATGTGAAAAATTCATGTTCTGCCTTATGAGTGCATTGTCAAATATGTGAGCATTATTGACAGTCCCTTCCCATCTAGCCATGACATAAGTGAAGTACACATTCCAATCAAATATGACTATTATATTTTCTGTCAGAATACCCTTCCTTTCAATATATTTCCCTTGCTTTTCAACACTAACCATGCATGGGATATATTCAACAATATTTTGAAACATATTGACCATTTTATGAATCCCTATCCTCCTAGTTGGATGTAGGTCATGTTGCACCAATTTATTGCAAAATTAAAGAAAAACATCCCTTTTCATGCTAATCATGTCACGATAGTGCTAAAGATGCCCTTGCAACATTTCTCCTACCTATTCATGACCTAATTACAAGTTGGTTTTTTAAGGTTCTTTAAATAATTATTTTGTTGATTAATTAGCCATTATTATAGTAACAGCCTCAACCTCGTCTTTTTTATCTTGTAAGAGCGACTATAACAAGTAAGACTATATACTTTCATACACAAAAACTGTATAATGTACTTTAGTAATTGTTACACTGTTTATTAGTAACGTAAAATAAAGACACATAAAATAGTAGTCTAATAACACAATCAGTTTGTATAAAAATACATAAAATAATAGTTTAATAACACAATCAGTTTAAAAGTAAGGTTAATAGTATAAACAACAATAGCAAGTATTAAAACATAGAAAAGACAAGCAACAATTGATCCATGCTACTTTCTAGGCCAAACACTTTAAATATGCCACCAATGCTCTTCTATTTCTCCTAAGCTCAATATACATCTCGCTCACAGTCCTATCTAGCAAGGCCGTGACACAATTTCTAAGAAGCGTTCATTGCTTGCAATCTCCTCAATTTCATAAAGTTCTGTTGTTGTATCTAGAATAATTTGATCATTTGGTCTCACTGCACTTTTCATTGAATTAACAATTGACTTCGCTGCTCTAACTTTCTCCTCTTGGGTAATAACCAAACAACTCACTTCATTAGCCATGATATATGTAGGATGTCTTTCCTTTTTGTTTTGACTATTTTCACTCTTCTTTCGCTTATCCTTTGAATTAGTACTACCATTGTATGCATTGTTCAAGATAGTCTATTTAATATTAGGGATAGCTCCTTCATTATTGTCTATTGCATCATCATTGTCCCTCAATCGTTCTGTCAAATCCATTTTAGGCCTATATACATGTTACAAATCATTAGTCGCAAGTATTTATATGTAAGTGCTCCGTGTTGGAGTAGCCGTGTCAATTCTCAAAATTCTCTTGCACATTTACAAGAATTTAGTACAATACATTTAAAGAATAAAACATCAAACATATAACATGGCATTTAAAATTTTATACATCAATCTTTTGATCCTCCCACTCATTTGGTGTTGATACAATGTTCTTATCTTATCCCAACCTATTATAGTCCTTCCTCGAGCTATCCTACTTATTTTTCAATTGCTTCTTGTCAAATTTTATCGAGCTTAATGCATTGAATTACTGTGTTAAAGCTTCCTTACTTGTTGCAGAGCTAACTTGATGAAAGGTTTTATTTCTTCTATAGCCCACAGTGCCTTTTCTTTACTCATGACTGCCAAAATGTGATATTGTCAATATATAGGAAGGAAAATAGGAAAAATGGTGACAACAATTGAGACTAGTTGCAACCATACAAGTCAACTTAATCATTTGGCTTCATTTAGTGACATAAGGGGACTTACTCTAATTCATATGATGTCAATAGCTAGATGGTTTATCACGATTATAGAAAGCCTACTCTAATTTAATTGTTATTATTATTGGTTTTTCTCCTCCTCCTCCTCCTACTTTATATAATTTTTATTGCTTAACCAAATAATTCTAAACATCATGCCAACGTACAAAAAAATGTAAAAAATGTTTTAACCAATAACTATGCCTCTTAAGCTTGCTCATTAAATGATATTAACTCTTAAGACTCACAAGTTAAATTTGTCTTCCCTAATCTTATAAGCCAATGCAATAACGGTGTTTATTTTCAATTTCTCAACTTTGTTGAAGAACCTTGAATGAATTGCATCATCAGCCACCACCCTCAAGTTCGTATTAATATGAATATATTATAGAAGCCATCGTGAGGGCATTTGAAAATAATAAAAAGAAAATCACAATTTACAACTTATCTAAATAAGCAAGAACAAGATGAATGACATAGTATTGGGTTATCCAGTTTACAAATTTTCCTTAATGGAGATCGAGCCCTCAACTCACAGTAATAACATCCATACAAATCAACTCAATCACTTGGCTTCATTTAGTGACATGAGAGGGCATACTCTAATCCATATAATGTCGAAAGTTAATGGTTTGTCATTATTATACAAAATCACTCAATTAACTCAGGTTTTTCTCATGAAATACAAATCCAACTTGTACCAAATATTCAAAAACTACCACGAGCAAATCAAAAATTAACTCCAAACACAAGTTAGAATTCTCATGAGTGACAACAAGAGGGAAAAACTCAGGCCTGATGTGAAACAATATCTAAATGACTATGGAATTGTCCATTAAACCTCTCGTGAAGAAATTGTCAAGTACTAGAAATAGCAAGAGATCTCATGATCAAGTGCAATGATCAAATAAAAATAAAGTACAGCATAGCAAAATGTCTAAGAAAAATGAAGGAAGCCACCTAATTCACAAGCACGGCAAAACAAAGAAGGCAAACAAAAAGACATAAAAAATGAGAGCAAAACATGCACAAAGAACTTAAAAGTACCTGGTTCGCTAGCATGAAAAACTCACAAATGGGTTGAACTCAGACGTACGAAGTGATTTTTGCTTTTTTAAGCTTTAAAATGTCTTTAAAATACAGACAATATCTTGATTTATGACAGAATAAAGATCACTGGTGTGAGTCATCTCATATCTGTTGGAGTGAAATGGAGAATACAATAATAGAGCAATAAGAGAAAAAGATCACCTGTAAATGAAAGAAACTAAAAGAGTTAACTCCGATCTATGGTCACCGGATAAAGGAGCAGTGACAACGAGGAAAGGGAGATTGGAAGTTGGAGGAACAACAATGATGACCCACTGAGAGGACAATAGATGATGAGAGAATTTGAAGAGGAGAGGGGTGAAATGTATAAACCTTTGTGCAAACGAATAGAGAACAATAAGGGTGGTATGATCATTTATAAAAGTAGGTACAAATTTATTTCTCTCATAATTGCTCCCAATTCCCATTTGTAATTTGAAGTTCATCTAATAAAATAGTTTTCAAATCCACTTTCAAACCATATCTCAACCCACATTTGGAAAGTTATTTTACCCACATAAAAATTTCCCAAGCAACTTTTAGTGCTCATTTGAATTTTAATTTACACTTGATAAAATTATTTGTTAAATTTGACAAATACATCCCATGTGCGATTTAGATGTACTTTTGAAGGTTACCTAAATAAGTTATTAATATGTAAAAAATTTAAAAGTACTTTTCAAATGCTAAATATTATTTTTCCAAATGCAGCCTTACTTTTTACATCATGAAGTTGACTCAAACTCAATAGTAAAAAAAAAAATTTGACCCCATCTTTTTCTCAAACTAACTTTACCCAAAATAATTTTTTAACTTTTACAAATTTGGCAGTGATTGCCAAGGCTTAAGGCTTAATCTAAAAATAAAAAGAATCAAATAAGGGTGGGAATAGGTCATGTATCTATTAGGGGCCTATGTCCTGACTTATTTTAAGTACAACCAAACCTATTTAATAAATAGGTTTAGGTCAAGTTCAATTTTTTAATTACATTAATTTTATCATTTAATTTTTAATTAATGTATTCTTTTTTATTTCTAGTTATATTTTTAATTAGATTAGACTTATATATTGATTTTAAAGTTATTATTTTATTATTGTATTATAGTTGATAAGTCTTTTTAATTATTATATATTATAATTAATAAATCATGTTATACATTTATATTAATAGTTTTGAAGTATAGTTGAGACATTTAATATTAAAATATGAGTTTGTTTAAAATGCTTACTTTTAGGTAAACTTTTAAATAAATTTTCAAACCAGATTAGGTTTTAAATATGTTGATACCTAAACCATAAAAAAAACTTTCTACATATTTTAGATCAAGGCTTTTAATTTATTACATTAACTGATATCTCGTTGATCAAAATTTAATTTAGCCTAACTTATTGTTACTTTTAGAATTAACTATAAGTAATTAAATGGAACCACGGAGCGCCTTTTTTTTTTTTTTTTTTTTGGGACGGCGGATCGCGATTAATTGAGGCGTCGCCTCTGTTGATCCGTTGGATTTTCATTTTCTACGCCGGTTCTGCCTATGCGCTCGCTCTCTCTCTATAGACAGTGTCTTCTCTTTGTCGTATGCTCCTGTCTGCTGTGGCAACACGATTGAAGTCTTTCTCTCTAGCGGCTTCCACATCGTCTGGAGCCGAACAAGTCATTGCCTGAGAGCATCCCTCCTTATTGTCTTCTACCGAGTCACGCTTTGGTTTCAACAGCATGTCTCAGACTAACTGGGAAGCTGATAAGATGTGAGTTCCCATTCTTCTTATTTTATTTTTCTGATTTTCGCTTATATATTCTTCGCTTGTACCATTTTGCAACCTGGGCGATGCTTCACTTGTTCACTCTCAATTGTTTTCCCATCTTCATTGCCCTTTCCTTGTTGATTTGGGTTCTTGATTTTCTCGGAGCTATTGTCTCTGGGTTTTGATTGGGGCCAGGTTTATTTCCCGTGGTTCAACATGCTTGCATCTTATACGCGTTTGGAAATATTATATTGGGTGTCTTAGGGTTTATGCTCTCTGCAAGTTGAAGGGACACTCGATGGAATTTCACCTTTAGCTGCTGAACTTTTGTTTTAGCATGTGGGTCGCCGATAATTGACATCAGCGTCTGCCTACTGACACTGTAGTAGCTCAATAGCTTTTGTCATCTGTTCCATGTTACTGGATGTGAGATTTTATCTTTCCCTCTTCCAATCCGCGTGACTGATACAACGCTTTATTGAAACAAATGATATCTCAGGTTAGATGTTTATATCTATGATTACCTAGTTAAGAGGGATTTGAAGGCTTCTGCTGAGGCTTTTCAAGCTGAAGGAAAAGTATCCTCGGATCCCGTTGGTAAGCTACTGAGAAATAGTATATTATAAATAAGAAGATGAATCTACCTGTAATATTTGTTTTTGCCCTGGTTATAGTCATCTCTTTTTGCATCTAGTTAATTTGATTTTTTCCCTTGTGGTGGAGCCATTGATGCCCCTGGAGGATTTCTGTTCGAGTGGTGGTCAGTATTCTGGGATATATTTATCGCCAGGACTAATGAGAAGCACTCAGAAGTTGCTGCATCTTATATCGAGGTTTGTTTTAAGTACAATTCATTGTTTTCTTGCTATATATTCTCTCCGTCCTTATATATAAGTTTTTTTTCTTTTTTTTAGAAGCTTATTTTGTCCCTAAACATGAAGGATGTTATGATATTTTCGAGTAATTAGACAATTTTATCCTTGTCTTGAAAAAGGAGAAGAGATGTTGATTGTATGCTTTATCCAATACTACCATGATATTAATTGATATCTGGGATAAAATTGGACAATTACTTTGATTTAATGGAATTTCAATTAAATAGGAAACTTTTATTGGTGTGTGTGATTCGGTTAAAAACATCTTATATATATGGGCGGAGGGAGTATATCATTAGTCACATGCTATTTGGATAGTACTATGTTGTTATGATTTTAACAGGGAAAATATAGTCCTTTGGCCGATTCCTCTTGCGTAGTTCAATGTGATTTGCAGTTTAATAATAATTTTCAGGATTCCAATTAATGTCTTCCTTAAGGAAGTTTGTGTTCAGTGGGGCGTGATCTTTTGGTTTCTTTGTCTTAGCATACAGATAGCGATTTTATTTTTGTTCTTTAAGCTAGTGTAACTTAATCAATTTATGGGGCTTCAATGCTTGGATGTGCTATTTCATACTAGCTGTGATTCTAAACAGGGTAATCACTGTAAATAAGAGTTTTGATTGCTTTGCGAATGCAGAAATTATAGATCAAAATATGTTCACAAAGGCTTAAGAAACGAACAATTGCAGTTTGTAATTCTTGTTTAGCGTAAATATTTAGCAAATTTTTTATTCAAAGTGTGATATTCCTAAAAGCATGATTGATGATAGAGCACAATGAATCTATATAGTTGATTCCACCTAATGGGATAGGGCTGCTTCTTCTTGTTGTTGTTGTTTATTCAAAGTGTTTAGGCAATAATTCAAAACTTAATTGAGAGTCAACAAATAAAATGGTGGGTCCCATACTTATTGCATCTCTATATAGAAGTAACACTTGACTTTTCCTAGGAATGTAGAGATCCAAATCAATGCCTGACTTACTAAATTGTAGAAAACTGTGGATTATTGGAGAAACTATTGGAAATGTTATTTTGCCCCTTTATGTAAAAAGACGTTCCCGTCTGAATATTTCTGGGCATTGAATGGATGAATTCATTATATAAATAAACCATTGTTATATGATTATATCTTAAACAGCTTCTTCATCAAATCAAATCTGTCAGAAAAAGTTTCTGATTGCGAGAAAATGAAAGCATAATATTATGATATCCAAACAAGAATTGAAATTTTATATTTGGGTTGAAGGTTTCTCCACCTAATTTTCTTGTTACTTACCTTTATAGATTGATTAATGACTAATAAAGGCATAGTTGTCACCAAATTCCATGATTTCTATTTCTTGAGGCATCACCTCTGTTCATTTACAGTGTCTTATTGTTTAATATGCTTCTGTCCTCCATAGGCTTGTAGTTAAGATAAAAATTCAAGTATTTCACTAGTGTGATCAATGATTTTGTCATACCCTTCTATTTGTTGTATTAAAGAAAAGGAAAAGCCTTTCGACAGTGCTTTGACTGCTTTGTGAAGCTGCAGACATTATACAAATATATGATTTTGGCCAAGGAATTAGAACTCAATGGACAATTAGTTTAGTTATGAAGAGTTAATACTGTTCGCTAAATTATTATTAAAATGCAATAAAATAATGACATACTGGTTTGTGGAATATAATAACATAGTGTACAAGAGAAGGAAGAAAGAAAATCCCACATACCTTTCAAAGCTTATGAAGTGTGAAACTGCAATTGCAGACACAGTTAATTAAGGCAAGGGAACAGCATCAGCAGCAGCAACAGCAGCAGCCACAATCCCAGCATCATCAGCAGCAGCAACAGCAGCAGCAGCAGCAGCAGCAGCAGCACCAGCACCAGCACATGCAGATGCAGCAAATCCTGTTTCAGAGGCAGCAGCAGCAGCCACCGTCACAACCACAGCAGCAGCAGCAGCAGCAGCCACCTCCGCAGCAGCAGCAGAGAAGGGATGGGACTCATCTCTTAAATGGCACTACAAATGGGTTAGTTGGAAACCCTAGCACTGCAAATGCCATGGCAACAAAGATGTATGAAGAGAGGTTAAAATCTCCCCTTCAGAGGGATTCTTTGGACGATGCAGCCTTGAAGGTAAGGAGATGTTCAGTCTTGTAATTATCTTATGAACTACTGTTCTCATGATACCACGTTCACCATAAATATCTCTGGGTGTTTTATGCAGCAAAGATTTGGTGACAACATGGGCCAGCTCTTGGACCCCAATCATGCCTCAATGATGAAGTCAGCTGCAGGTTCTGGCCAGCCTTCAGGGTGATTTTCTCAAATTGTTCTAATATTTTTTATTACTTTTTATTTATTATTATTGGGATATTTGCTTGTGCAGAAGGTGGTGACACTTGATTAGTCTCTAGCTGGTGGTAGAGTTAGTTTAAGCTTGGTTATAAATAGATAAGTTGAATCTCACTTCATTAGGTTAATACAAAAACGGGATCATTCATGATAAATTTTGTCATAGTCATCTCCTGGCGTGTTTTGGGGATTGGGCGTTGGAGGTAAAATTATTTATGTAACATGCAACTGCCCTCTTGTGCCTCAGAATTAAATGATGTGCTTTCAATGGTCTTTAGCATTTGGGATTCTCTTCAGAGATGAGTTTTCACATTTTTATTATCACAATTTCTTCATTTCAGACAACAAGTTTTGCATGGTGCTGCTGGTGGGATGCCTCAACAAGTTCAACCTCGTAGTCAACAATTGCCAGGGTCTACTCCAGTATGTTATTGTTCTTGAAGTAATATTATTTCCTCCTATCTTCTCTTTTAGTAATTGTGCCCTGACATGCCACTTGGAATCCAGGATATAAAGAGTGAGATTAATCCTGTTTTGAATTCAAGAGCTGCAGGTCCTGAAGGATCATTAATAGGAATTCCTGGTATTCTCCCATCTCATTCTTTGTATATTGTAATCGATTTGTATTCTTCCTTTAGAAACTGTTTGGCAGGCATGTGATGGGATTTAACAGTGAAATTTTATGACGTTTTCTTGCTGTTCTTGCACATATACTAAGTTAACAGAAGGTTTTCTTGCGCCAGGATCAAATCAAGGCAGCAATAATTTGACTCTGAAAGGATGGCCACTCACAGTGAGTCATTTTCAAATAGCTTACATGAAATATATTACTTTCGATGAATATGCTGTCTCTTCCTAAACCTGGTGAGGTTGTAAATGTATCATGCATATGAAGAGGTTGTACATGGCCTTTCCCTACTCACTATTAAACATACTGAACCTCTTACTGTTTAGAAACAATGGCATGTTGTGTGAAGCATATAGCGACATCCACCCTGATGAGTTTTACCAGCTCAGTGCCATTTGTTAGTGAAAATAGGCAATGGATTAATTAAGTTTCCCTTTTCTGTTATTTTATTTTGCTTATTAGGACTTGGATCAACTGCGCTCTGGTTTTGTTCATCAACAAAAGCCTTTTATACAGGCTCCTCAACCTCTTCATCAACTACAATTGTTGCCACCTCACCAGCAACAGCTTATACTTGCACAACAAAATTTGTCATCCCCATCTGCCAGTGATGAGAATAGAAAACTCAGAATGCTTCTGAATCAAAGGAGTATGGCCCCAAATAAGGACGGTCTTTCAAATCCTGTTGATGTGGTCTCAAATGTTGCATCACCTCTTCAAGCTGGTGGTTCTATTTTGCATCGTGGGGATACGGATATGCTAATGAAGGTGCTAGTTCCATTTCAATCATCATCCGCACTCCATCTACTATGACTTTTTGGTTTGTTCACATGTACTATTTATATATCTTGCTGATGCAGTGCAAGTCTTATGACTGGCATGTTCTGAAAGATTCTATTATTTGTAGTTTAAGTTGGCTCAGTTACAGCAACATCCACAGCAGCAGAGCAACAATCCACAGCAGCAGCAACTTCAACAGCATGTTCTATCAAATCAGCAACCTCAGACTTCAAACCATAATATGCATCAGCTAGATAAAGGGGGCGGCGGCGGCAGTGTCACCATGGATGGTAGCATGTCAAACTCCTTTAGAGGAAATGATCAGGTCAGTTCTTTACCGGTTGCTCCTATCTCACCTGTAATTATTTAAACTTTGTGGTGTTACTGGGCTAACATATTTTTCATGTCCCATGAAAGAAAATACGTAGTTCTAAATGTGGTTGGTGAATTTTTTAACGCACACAAATTGCATTTGTTAGATGTAGAGCAACTGGTCATCTTCTGAAAATCATACAGCATTGGTAGAGTTGTATGATAAAAGTTCACCATACCTTTTGGCTCTGCTATGTTGACGCCCAAAACTCGCCAGTCACATGAAGCCCCCTCTTGTAGCATCCTCATTCCCTGGCTTTCCATATTCTGTCTTCAAATGTGTTCCTTTCATGGCTAGCTTCTTCTTGACAGAAATAGATTGGAGATCCACAGGGGTGTTGGATCTGGATGTGTTTACTTGCTCATTTTTTATTCAAAAGATCACAAATTAGTTTCCTTAACATGAAGTTTTCGCAACTGAGTAGTTGGAAATGGATTTTACTTCTTGCCAAAGCCTTTCTTACAAATGTATGGAATAAACCATTTGTGGCAGCCACAATGAAGAGGTCCTTTTTTTTTGGCTTGTAACTTGGGAATCACAATTTAAACCCATATGAAATGGGTTCCTAACATGGTTTTCCTGAATGCACTTTAAGGTTTCCAAAAACCAGACTGGGAGAAAGAGAAAGCAGCCTGTATCTTCTACAGGTCCTGCAAATAGTTCTGGAACAGCAAATACAGCAGGTCCATCTCCAAGCTCTGCACCCTCAACTCCTTCAACTCATACACCTGGAGATGTGATATCAATGCCTGCTTTGCCTCATAGTGGTAGTTCTTCAAAGCCTTTAATGATGTTTGGCACTGATGGTGCTGGAACTCTCACTTCGCCTTCAAACCAGTTGGTGAGTGGCTTTTTCTGTGCAGTTCTATAGATGGAAGGAATGATATGTTCCTTGCACGTAGACTCATTGCCATTCCATTTTGGCAGTGGGATGATAAGGATCTTGAATTGCAGGCTGATATGGATCGTTTTGTGGAGGATGGATCACTTGATGATAATGTTGAGTCTTTTTTATCACATGATGATACAGACCCTAGAGATACTGTTGGTCGTTGTATGGATGTAAGCAAAGGTGCAGTATGCTATTGTAGTTGTTGATCTTAACATAATTTAGCTTCGTTCCCTGTTCTAACTAAGCGGCATCATCCTTGTGATTGAGTTTCTTAAATATGCCTGTTTTTTATTTTGGTTTGGTGCATTCTCTGCATGCTTTTATCTTTGCAGATAGTTCATCTATTAATAGAAAATTAATAGTGATATGCAATACCTAAATAGTTTATGTACTTACATAAATTAATAGTGATATCCACTCGGTGCAGCTATCAGTGACTTTCACTCTTGGGACTGCCTCTGAAGAGACTTTCATTTATATTGATTTATCTTCCTTACCAAGCACACTTTTAGAATATTTATCATACATTCAGTTTATTTATTGCCTAATATGTTGTTCGTATTGTAATTTAGAAGGGATGTGCTTCTTTATTCTATTCACTTCTACCCTTTTTAATCCCTTTCAGCTTAGAAACTGATACCAATAATCTTTATGTTTATATTTTATATATTGTGATTTCTTTGGAGGGTACTAATTTGCGTCTGTTTCAGGCTTCACATTTTCTGAAGTAAATTCTGTACGAGCAAGCACAAGCAAAGTTATTTGCTGCCACTTTTCATCTGATGGGAAATTGCTTGCCAGTGGTGGCCATGACAAGAAGGTTAGTTAAAGTATTAATCTGGAAAAGCTTATCTGGTTTAGTACTTCATGTATGTAATTGATTTCCTAACATTAGCTGCAAATTTGTGCTTTTGACTTTCTTGAAGAAACAAGGTAAAGCAATTGGACCTCTATTATTGATTCTACTTGATGTGCAATTTGACATTTTCTTTCGATGGCTTTTTAATGCAGGCTGTGTTATGGCACACAGATACCCTAAAGCAAAAAGTTACTCTCGAAGAACATTCATCTATGATCACAGATGTCCGTTTCAGTCCAAGCATGCCACGTCTTGCAACATCTTCATTTGATAAAACTGTCAGGGTTTGGGATGTTGACAACGTTAGTAGTTCTTTCTCTTTTTACTCAACTAGTATTATTCTGATGAGATTTTTTTAAATCATGCAATGAGTTCTAATTTTGTGGAGAATAATGGTCTGAATGACTTTTTTCATCTGTACACAGATTCTACCCCCCCTTTTTTTTTTGGCACGTAGATGTGAGTCTTAGGTCTGATGTACTTTTGAATGCAAGGTTGATGGCATGATTGAGTTCGTTGTTTGTATTTATAGAAGTACATAAACTATTGGATTATGATTAGGGAAACATGCTTTCTTTTAATCGGGTAATGATAACGTGTCTGGGATAATTGCCATATACAGTTGAACGCAAGAAAATATATATGGTGACATCCCTCTGAATCTGATGCTAGTCAATCAAAAAGCATTTATTTGTCAACAAGAAGCTGGTGGGGCTTTCCTGTGAGGGACTTGGTAAAGACATGCTACTTGTAAGCCATGGTGACATGCAGAAGAGAAATGACACTGGTATTAACATCTGATGGCATTGGGGTTATTTATGTCAAAGGGAGTGGGTGTCATGTTGAGGAAAGCTAAGTTCAGTCAACAACCCTCAACAAAGTTATTTTGAAACATGAATCACTGCAAGAGTGTAGAGGATTTGGGACACAGTCTTGTTTCTTGCCCATCTCAAAAAGACGTGATAATTTATCGTCAATTGATTATTTCATTTTGTGATTATAATGTTAAAACTAATTAACAAAAACGCATATGTAATTATCGTTAGTTAATTACAGTGCAACCACAGACATAGTAATGAATCATGAACCGATGCATCCACTAATTTATTGACTGGAACCTGGGCCTTGCGTATAGAGATTATGATGATATTTCTAGGACAACAGTGGTGTACATCCAAGTGTTTATTAGACACGGAAAATTAGATATTATAACAAGGTCTATCTATGACTGGCTTATTGTTCATATTGTGGTTTGTTTTTGGTCTAGCTGTAGAGGCATTGTGCCTTTTTTTTACATTGCTATCCTGCTTGAGCTGAATATATTGATTCTCTCATAATGCAGCCTGGATATACAATTCGCACCTTTACAGGACATTCTACATCAGTTATGTCATTAGATTTTCACCCAAAGAAAGATGATCTGATCTGCTCATGTGATAGTGATGGTGAGATACGATTTTGGAGTATAACCAATGGTAGCTGTACTGGTGTCTCAAAGGTAAAAATCTGAGTCGTCTTATTATACATGCATGCCATTTTTATAATTGCTTGTTGACCAGCGTTTTCTACACTAATAACTGTCTTGTTGAATAGGGTGGCACTGCCCAGATGAGATTTCAGCCTCGTATGGGGAGGTACCTTGCTGCAGCTGCAGAGAATGTTGTCTCTATACTTGATGTGGAGACACAAACACGCAGATATTCGTTACAGGTTCAATTTCATGATATAAGATGCACTTCTTTGTCATTTGTAGAAAAATATATATCAATCAGAGGCATGCATTTTTGCTTGAGTCGATCTAAGAGTTATGGAGTTGATGTTTTCTGTTCTGTCTAGTTATCATTAGACAATATAGAGCAAGAGTTTGTCTCAGCAGGAAAAAAATTTTCCTGCCAAGTTGTCATCTTTTTTCTTTTTTTTTTGTAGCCCAACAAATTCTGTCTTCTTTACAAGCGATAATATTGCAATATTGACTATTTTGTTTGGGAGGAGGTGGATAAAGTGTTGCACTTACTAAAATCTTTGTATGATGCGTGTTGTCTCTGAAAGCATATCAATTAGTAAAATATTTAAAATGAGTTGAAACATTTGAGACCAGATGAAGATATATTGATGTGATTAGAGATTTAAAATGGTGGTATGGATGGAATTGAGCAAGCACCGCTCTAACTTAACTACCAATAAAAGCTGTCTTTGCCGGAGAGAGATCTAGGAAAGGGATATTATTCTAGTTTTTGTCGGAATCTCATACTTCTCTGCAGTTTGTCTATTCTCTCTGTGATGACATCTTGTCAGCGTTGACTTTATATGTTCCTCATCTTTTGCTGTGTCCCAGCCCAGGATCACTAACTTCCTCAAAAACCCGATGATACTATGATTGTAGGGACATACAAATCCAATACATTCTGTCTGCTGGGACCCTGCAGGCGAATTACTGGCTTCTGCGAGTGAGGACTCAGTTAGGGTTTGGACTATCGGGACAGGGAGTGAAGGAGAATGTGTTCATGAGCTAAGCTGCAACGGCAATAAGTTCCACTCCTGTGTTTTCCATCCAGCTTATTCTTCCTTGCTGGTCATTGGCTGTTACCAGGCAAGTTACATTCTGTTTCTGGTTATTTCTTTTCGGTGTTGTGCTTTCTAGACATCCGTGAGTTTGGGTATCTTTGTTCATGTTCATTTTGTTCTCCCCCTCCCTAATCCTCATTTGAATAGCATACAAGAGTCAACTCTGAGAGGAGGCTTCGGGCAGTTTATAAATGCCAAGTTTCAGACGATTTTTTCAAATTAGAATTACCGTAGATAAATTTCACATTTGGTTATACTTTGTTAGAATGATGTTGGCTGCTATGAAGCTCTATCCTCGTGGTTTTGTTTTTCCTCTTCCATATTCTGCAAATGATTCTGGTCAACAGTAAGAGGGTAATTCTGACGTGGTGCTCTTGGTAAATGCTGTGCATGAGCAGTCTTTAGAGCTTTGGAATATGGCGGCGAACAAGACAATGACTCTATCTGCTCATGAAGGTCTCGTTGCTGCCTTGGCAGTGTCTCCAGTGACTGGCTTGGTTGCATCAGCTAGTCATGACAAATTCGTCAAGCTCTGGAAGTAACCTTATGTTGTGTCTTGTGTGTTGTAATGCTTGCAGTTCGGAAATAGGTCCTACCACTGTTGATCACGCATGTCTCTGAATTACCGTTTTGCGTGCCTTTTAGTGTATCCGATCTTCCCTGTAATTTTAGATGCTAAAGTTTTTATAATGTTGTATTTGTCATCGTGCTTGAATGCCTGTTCCAGTTATTAGGTTTTAGTATATACTACGGGGATTTCTACAACTGCGTTGGGCATCATTTGTTATATCCATTGTTAACTTCCGGCCCATAATCTCTATCCATCGCTGTCATCATCCATTTAAAGATCTCCACTCTGTGCCTCAACGTACAGATAACCCATTGCCTTTTAAATATTTTTTCACTCCTCCTTTTTTGAATAATAACAAGTCCATTATTCACTAAAGCAGATAAAACAAAACAACAACTTGGGCAAATTACAACAATAATTTGTAATTGGCCCTTGTCAACAAAGATGGTCAGGTTGTTGAAGCATATTCTTCTGTAAGGTCTGAGTGGCAGAAATAGTGATGGGGTGCTTCTATGAGGCATGTATATGTATATATATACACGCGAGATTATCTTATTTGTAATTTTAAGACTTTCCTGTACATAACTTGTCCCGTCAAGAGGCAAATACGTATTCAATTGATTTATGCTTCGCTTGGTCCTACAAAGACCCCAAACGTTTTCGGTCAAAAAAAAAAAAACAGAAAACCGATTGTTCAAGTAAGCGACCATCTAGGCAAGCCTCGATTAATGATATGTAGGAGGTTTGGTAATTGTTTTATATTATTAATAATGTCAAAGAAGTAAAGCTTTAGGTCACCTTTTTTTTTTTTAAAAAAAAGGGAGGGATGCCTTTCTCAATTTTGGGAGAATGACGTTTAAAATTTTAATTGAATATTGTCTTGTAAAAGCACACATATGTTATTATTAAAAATTAAACCTTAATTTGTTAAATTTTTGAAAAAAAACTTAGCAAAAAAATATAAGATTTAACTTTTAACAACGTGTATGTATTTTTACGAGACAATATTTAATATAAAATTGATGGGCTTTAATTGTGATAAATTCTTTTGAGAGAACTTTAATGTCATTCTTTTATCAATTTTTCTCCCACTTCTATGGACAACAAATATTAAAGAAGAATTTCAGGAGAGATATGACATAATAACAAATAAGGCCCATAAAGCTATGAAATTTTAATTCAATCTAAAAGGATTGAAATAAAATTAATTTAAATGACAAAAGCATTGAAATAATCTTTGTTTAAACATTAAAAAGACAGCAGTTAGATTTATAAGTGGTGTTAGGAATGAACAATTAAAGTTAAAAAATTTACAACTAAAATTACTTCATAAATTCATATAAACTAATTGAACGAGTATTTTCATTTTTTTTAAGGATTAAAAAGTCAAGTAAAGTAATTTATAAATATTGTTGAAAAATTAATAAGTAAAGTTTTGACCAAAAAAAATTAATAAGTAAAGTTAAGAAATTAACAACTAATATTGCTTCATAAGTTCAGATAAATTAATTGAATAAGTAACTTATGAAGCAACTTTAATTGCTAAATTTTCAATTTTAATTGTTAACTTTCCAATATTATATATAAACCTGACTGTTATTTTTTAAATGTTTAAATAGAGGTTATTTCTATCCTTTCATTATTTAAACTAATTTTATTTCAATTATCTTAAACTAAAATGAAATTTCAAATTTTAATGAAGCTTACTTATTATTATGTTATATTCTTGGTCGTCTGCTGAAGTTCTCCCAACATTAAAGGTAGTCTACTCTTCTAGCAGAAAATACAAGCGTGTAATGTCACCGTAAGGACGTCTTCTTCCCCCACCCCTCCAATTTTATTTTTTTTATTGACTGGAATAATAAATTAAAAATGTTAAAAAAGAAATTAATTCTTCTATTTTTCATTTCCAGACTATATTTATATTGTTATAAGTTTCAAGACTTTCTATATTCTGGTTTTTGGAAATATTGAGAATGGTGGAGCTACATATTTAAATTTCTGAGGCATCCACCGAACTCACCTGTTAACTTAAGGTCAAAATTTATGAGCTAACATTAAATTTGTCCATATATGATTATGTAGTTGTTATCATTGTTAACAACATACTATATATGTCTCTAAAAACATATGTTTGTTCTATTTAAAACATGACCGTCTAAATGCAAGAAAAAAGTATCGAATGGATCATTGACCTTGAGAGCAATATAGTACACTCCTTCTTAAGAATTGTACGAAAACAAGAGAGTCGTGAGGAGGAATATAACCCATATCGTTTGGTTTTCAGTTCAGTCTGTGTGGAGCTAATTAAATCCATGGCTCGGTCTTCTATCTGGGTCGTGGCAGCACAACGCGAGTGCTGACTTCAATATATAAATGACCTTGTCCTTTTTTTTCCTTGATACAGTTAACCAACTTCTTTTGCTCCCTACTCTTTCAGATTCTTAAAAGAAGTTCAGTCGCAGGTTTCTGCGTGTAATATAATAATAACTTATTTGATAATATTAAAATCTTTTTGATAACTATATAAAGTATAAAAAGAAGGAAAAAAAGCAAATATTTCAAACAACAAATAACACAGTAAGAGTTTGTCACTCTATATTATTGCAACAGAACATATATAATTTTACGGTTCAAGCTTTAAACGGAGATGGAAGCCAAAGCATTAGGTCGATCCTTGGCCTTGATAGCATCATATTCCTTCAAGGTGACAACACGAAAACGAGGATGAGAGTGCAAAGGAGAGAGAGGACTTTCAGGTGAGGGCCTGTGGAAAAATGCAAAGGAATATCGATGAGCACTCCTACTCACTGTGACGCGATGCAACACCGATGTGAACTTCCCATTCGACAGTATCTCAAGGATGTCACCGACATGCACTACAAACGCATCTGGATCCGGGCGCACCGGAACCCACCCGATTCCTTCTTTGAAGATCTGGAGCCCACCGGTTTGGTCCTGGGTCAGGACTTGGCTTCGGGTTTGGGGATGGACTTGGGTTTGGTGGAGAATTGTGATGATGGATGTGTCTTTGTGTTGCGCGAGACCTATAGCTCGATCTGGGTCTGGACAACTTGGATACGAGTTCATTTGAAGCGTTTGGTTATCGCTCTTCACCCATTTCTTCTCTTTATCACACACCCCCAATAAATTCAGTATCATGCCTGTTACCTTCTCTACTACATTTTTCAACTGCTTTTGAATTTCTTCCATTTTTTCACTGCACCAACAATATGTTATGTTGCATATGTATGAAGATTGTATGTCGTAAGTAGGAATAGTATACATACCTGAAACGTGCAAAATCATCATGATTAGTAAAAACTTTCTTAGCATCATCGTAGGAAGAGCCGACAATGGTGAATCCTTCGTGCCACATGACCTTCGGAAAGAATGGTGAAATGTAAGCAGAACCATACCCAGCCTGTGCCCCAGGAGGCCTCAAGGCTTTCACCTTTTGCTCAGCTGGGAGAGAGAAGAGGCGTTTGATCTCTTCATTCACGTGGTTCAACAGAGATAAGGGTATTCCATGATTTTTCAGTTGAAAAATACCCCACTCCTCGCATGCAAGCTTTATGGTTTCCATGGCATTCGGATCCGTGAGGTCCACAACAGGTATGGATACGGAGCCATCATCAATGATGTCAGAGCATCCTTTTGACCACCATGTGTGAGAATCAGGTAAGCTCTCTGCTGAAGAAAAGTCCATGGGAATGTTTTTTGCTGCTTCAATGGATAGATCTCCAGCCATTTCAAGGACTTTCAGTTCGATTACGTTTTAGGAGTATCGGAACGTACAAGTGCGATCAACTGTTGGAATGGTCACCATACCGTTGCAGTATTTATATACTTAGAAGAAGGGCTGGATTCATCCCTCTATTAAATAACCAATATATATTCATTAATTGCAATACATGAATCATATAGATTTAATTAATTGCTTACATGCACCATGTCATGAATGCTTCAGTTACCCTAATGGAGCAACATGACTTTGCAGTTAGAGAGACAGGCACCATGCATTGTAGCGTTCATGGTACTCTTTATGGTTTTTGATCACGTTGGGCCAAGAATGAGAGAGCAAGGTGATCAACCATTAAAACATCTAGTCTCATCTATAAATATTTTTTGTCAACGCTATTTGAATTTGGATGCCTGTGTTAATTTTGATGAGTTCTTAAAATTTAACTCATCTAAACTTTTTCACACACACAAAAAAAAAAAAATCTAATCCCATCTGATATGTAGTACACACACATGCATGCACTATATATTTGAGGAAAAAATGGTCTGTAAGTTCTTCTAGTTTTCTTTAATTTTGAATTGAGTTCATGTAATTTATTTTATTTTAATCAAATTCTTATAATTTGATCGATTAAATACATTAATTCTTAGGAGTTAATATCATTTAAAAAATTTATTTTAAAAAATAAGATTAAGAACTTTTATATTTTTATTAAAATATTAGATAACATTAGAATTAATTACATAATTTTTATAGTTCATAATTTATATAATTAAGTTATGTTTTCTAAATAAATTTTATATAAACAGAGTTTTCATAAAAAATAATAAAAATGTAAAAATTGTAAGAAATCAAATTTTCATTTTATTTTGTTGGCTAAATGTATTAAATCAAAATTTCTATAAATTTCAAAGGTGTTTTTGTTTTGAAGAAGCTAATTATTCTTTAATAATTTTAATATTTATGGATTAATATCAAACTGTTAGAATTTGATTAAAACAAAATAACTTTAATCGATCAAAATATAAAGGTTTAATTATAAATAAATAAATTATAAGGACCAGATTCAAAATTAATGAAAAATAAAAGGACTCGCAAAGAAGGTATTCATAGATTTTTTTTTTAATTAAAAGACATTATTTTATTATAAGGTTAGTTGCTTTAAACATGCAATTTCGCTAGGCCCCAATAATAGAAGACCGAATTTCTAATGTGGAAACCCTGGTTAACATAATTTTAGGTACATTTATTCGAGATTTTTCAAAAATGTATGTCATTCACACAATTATATATATATATATATATATATATTTTCAAATTTTGCATGTACCAGTCACAATACATATGCATCATGTCATTTTAGATATTATTGAATTGTATCCTTTCTTTGTACAATATGAAGAAAATGAATCACATTATTTTAGGTATGTTATCTATGAGAGTTTTTCAAAGGTATATAATTCACTCATTTAATATATAGAGTAACCACTAAATACAGTGAACAAAATCTCTGGTCATCATACATTTCCTAGCTCTTCATTTTTCATGATTCATTTTCTGAGCCATCTACAAACGCACATCACTATTCAAAGAATTAGAAGAAACCTGATGCAAATGCATTGGGTTCATGATAAGTTTTAAAATATTAATTGTCTATAAATAAACAAAATTCTTAATTATGCCACAAACGACATCAAGTTGGCGACACTGTTCTTGGTTATATTATTGAGGGAAACTATAAAATTGAATTAACTTATTTATTTTGAGATTTCAAGTTTGAATCCTAAAAATATAGAATCATATTAAATAAATATGTTAAAAATATTGTTGATGTATTTGTGAGACTGTCATTAGTAATAACTGTAACATCCCAATTTAAATTTTAATAGTTAATTTGGGTTAATAGAAATTTTGAAAAATATTTAGAGGTAAGCAAATTAGTAGAAAATGATTATTAAATCTAATTTAGGATATAATTCTAAATTAAAATAAAAAAATTAAAAAAAAAATTAATTAATTAAAAAATAAATAAATAAAATATTATTAAATTAATATTATTATTATAAAAAGAAAGAAAGAGAAAAGGTATGAGAAAGAGGAAGGAAAGAAGGAAGAAAACGTGAGCGCTTTCGGTGCAATGATTATATATATAATAATAAAAAAAAGGAGAGAGAGGAAAGAAGAAATAATAAAAAAAATATGGGACCCACTGAATTTTTATAAAAACTCACCCGTTTCTTTCGTTTCTTCATTATTCCCAGTGCGCGAACTGAGGCTGAGAGAGCATCTAGTTTCGCCGGTGCGGGAGATCTGAATTTTTAAGGTAAGAGTTTTTAATAGAATATTTAAGGTGTGATTTTAAGCTTTTCAAGACTAAGTAAGTATTCTAAAAAATTTTCTTAGTCATCCTTCCTCTTTGGTTTTTAATTTTGTGGTGGTAGAAAATTTAAGATCTGGAAGAGGGATGAATTTATGTTGAATAAATATGGTTTATGAAGTTGTTAGTAGTATAATAAATGTTCTAGAGTATAAATTTGTTGATGATCTTTAAATTTGTGGTTTATGGATCAAATTTTAAACTAGATCTGAAAATATATGTTGATTTATTGAGGTTTAGATGATTATTTGAGATGAGAAATGAATTATTATGGCTATAAGATTATGATTTTAAGTTAGAGATTCAATTTTTAATTTTTGAATATTTTATGTGTGAATTTATGAAATAAAAAAAATTGATAATAGAAATTAGTTTAGAAGTTGATCTTTAGATTATTAATGTTTATTGATGAGTAAAAGAGGAGTTAAAAATTTTACTTAATAGTATTAACTTTAGATTTGTATTAAGATTGAAATTAAAAATTATGTTATATTTTTAATTCTATTATTAGAATTATTTTATTAGTTTCAAAAAAATTGAAACTAATATTTATAAATAATATGTTATTTGTAGATTTTATTATTGGTGAAGATTGTAGTGGGAGAGAAATTGTAAGGAATAATTTATTGAAAAAACCACGAGGTAACCATGTTTTTAATTTATGATTTGTATTACTTCATGTTAATTGGGTGATTATTGAGAAAATTATAAATTTTGTAATATTATATAATTGTGCAATATTATTATGAATTTATTTGATTATTGTGGGAGGTGTTGGGAGACTTGCTATTGTTGTTGTATTTATATGCCACGTGGTACGCCCCTATTGGAGCTCAATAGGTGGCTTGTAAGGGCTCGGGCTAATCTACCTTTGGCCGGGTAATTTAGCACCAAATGAGGGCTACGGCTCGAGGTTAATGGAGGGATATAAAGATGGTTGTTTGTGTGTATTGTAATATTTCTTATATTTGTTGGAATTATATTATTTTTAATTCTCACTTAATAAGCACATACTTAACTGTTTGTATACACTATCATAAATTGGCTTTGGTTACTGGAACTTTTGAGTCTCATTATGTGGTTAACAATTTTGAGGAGAAGAGCCACGAGTGACACGTGGAGAAGTCCCAGAGGCTTAGTGGTTTAGATCCACTGTTTCTTTTGGGTATTTGATTTATGATTTATAATGTGTTATATTGCCAATATTATGACTTTTTATTTATTGACAATTATATGAATATATAAGTGTAATCATGTCTTTCAAACTATTTCTATTTTTGATATACTTTGGATGACTGTAATTTTAATATTTGATTTACTTTGAATTGGTTAAAATGGCATGATTATGAGGCCAAATAATTGTTTTGTGTTGAAAATTAACTAAATTGTTTAGTTTACTTGTTGGGAGTATAAGGATGGACAAATGTGATTTAGCCTAATAGCATGTGGGAGGTAAAAATTTATCTGAAATGTTATATTGTGTGAGTTGAAGCCAATTATAAAATATTTTATATTAAAATTATTGATATAAAAATATGTTGGATGGCTGTAACTCAACTATGGTTGAGTTGGTTAAATTATTTAAAAAAAAAATTTTTTGGTGTGTTACAATAACGATCTCACACAATAGAGATTTAAATTAATTTGGATTGGAGGTGATAGTGCTTTAAGTTTTTTTAGAATATCAAGCCATTGAATAGAAAAAGTTCCGTGTCAAGAATACTATATTTCTTTTAGCTATATACATTAAATAATCATCCAGGTGTGAATTTTCGTTTAATTATTTGTATTTTTCATGTCAACTATATTGTGATTATTGTCATGTCTATAACTATCAGATATTGGCAGTGTCACTGTGACAAAAGAATAATACGAAGTTTTTGCTTTTCGTTGTTAACGGATAAGTCTTAATTTTAAAGACGAGCGTATTATATTGTGGTATCCAGAAGCAATATTTTTTTAGCTTCATCGGAGGAGGAATCAATTGATGGTGGCGAACCCTCAATGCCACATGAACTTGGGAATGAATTGTGATATCTTCCTAATGATGTTTAATTTAGTCGCATGAGATCCAATACTATTGGGTTAGATTCTAACATTGTCGCACGAATTTGAAATTGATTTGCTTTCATGTTCTTTACATCCTTCCCACTCATTTCATCCTATATTATAAAGTATTTTTTTATTCATTGAACATTTTAATAAAAATAAAGTTTTATTAATAATATTTTTTTAATATCACTTTCATTTTCATTATATTTTCTCCTCTTAATATTTTTTTATAAATAAATTATTAAATGAAGGGTATTTTTTATTTTTATTTTAAAAAATAAAATTGTAAAGCATTATATTTAATAAATTTTATTGATATGTATGATTTTGTTAAAAATATCTTTTAATTTAAGACAAAATATTAATAAGCTTATAAATATCTTATTAGACAAGCTTCTAATTAATGCCCAAGATTTGGTCGTATCCAAAATAATTAATATATTTTTCGGAACTACTCTTACCTATTAAAATTTACTATTGGTCATCTTTATTACTTCCTCCTTCTCAAATTATTGAAAATTTTTTAGTAAAACTAATATATCATATCATTTATATCTATTCAATAAAAACATGACAT